AACTAATATTTTCATATGGTTCAAAATACTACCTAGTTCAAAATATAAAACCTGAGAAGTTTTTGGAATATCTAATTGCATTAATATAGAAGCAATAAGTAAATTACACTAAGACATGGATGGAAGGATTACACTTTATATATAAGTTGATAATAATCAACCTTTTGATAAAGCGAAATAATCTTATCCCTAAAAGTAGATAAGATTTAAATAACCTGGAATAAAAATAATTCCAAACATTGTAAGAACTAATTTATTATTTATGATATTTTATATATAATTATAATTAATAATACTTACATCTTTGATAAATGAATTATTAAAGATCACACTAGAGGTGATACAAAAAACAACCATTTCATCACCTTCTATGACAACTACGAAAATATTATAAGAATCAGTGAATTATAAAATAGTAGATAAATTTATATCTCTCTATTGAAAAATTAAATTATTAATCATTATCATCTAAATAAAAACATTATACATATGAATTGTCATCATTTATAATGGTTAATAAATTTCATTCAAAACTAGTGATTGCTTGATTAAATTACTTTTACTTATCAGCCATAATCAATCATAATAAAAATAATATTCTGCTGACCACATTACAAATGATAAGTAAATTTATCCTTTATTTAAACTTGTCTCTGATTAATTTTAAATATATGATGAAACTTAATTGATAAGTGAATATTTGTAGGATTTAACTTTATAAAAAGAATTATTTGTCAAATTAAATTAACAAATCTTTGTTATTTACTAATCATATATTCATCATAAGTTTATTTTAAGCTCTGGCTAACTAACTTAATATTTTGAGAATTATTTTTAATTGAAACCATAAAATACCCAAAAATCCAAGTATTAACTCAACTTAAACTTTCAAATATGATCTCTAGAAATTTATTAATCAGAATATTAAGAGCTGTTAAAATTTAATGAATATACAACTATGATTTAGTCATTTTAATTCTGGGATGGTATTGTTATAGATAGTAGTCCTAGTTACTTTTATAGAATTTAGAAATAAAAGTAAATATTATTCATATGATTTAAGATTAACTAGAATTTTAATAAAGAAAGAATGTGACTAAAAATAAGTAGATCTCATAAACTAATAGAAATAGAGATTAGAAGATAAAAATAAATTATTATAACTAGGTCTTTAAAATTTCTAATTTAGTGCACATTAATTCTATAAAGGATAAAAAATAAAACAAATAATAAAAAGTAAAATAAAGTCAAGTCAAGTAAAATATTTTTTTATTTCTAAAAGCAAATATAGATAATCATAGCTCTTAATGAAATTTATTAGTTTCAAGTGAAAATAAGCATTTACTTAAAATACCATTATAAAAGAAATATTCAACATAATAATTATTATTGTGAAACTTTTCATATCTACTTACCTTAATATTCTAATTTTATAAATAGCAGTCTTCCATCACTTAGAAAGTAGCATTGGTTTTCACTAAATATATTCATAATAAAATAACATTAAACTTATATTTTGGTATTCTAAAATTTTAATTTCTAACTACTTTTTTAAATTTCCTTTTTAATTAGACTTTTTTGTCAGCCAACTTAGGATTCATTATGTTCAATCATTTAATATTGTTATTGACTTTATCAAATCTTGTTGTATATATATTAGTAATGGCTTCATTATTAGAAAATATTTTAACCTAATGATGAAATCAGTTTTTCAGTAGATAACATCTCGAGTTTATTTTATTTATTGTAAACCAATTATATATATTATATATTATAAAATTTCATGAATAATTATTTAAAAAATCAATTACAATATAAAGTCTAGATTTGAACATCTTAAAAAAATAGAGGAATTTAATTTTATCATATTCATTAAATGAACAAAAAAAGTTTAAATGGATTAATTAAATATCGATAATTCCTCGTGAGTTCTATTTTTAATAAATTTTATATTGATAAAATTCATTCTAAAATATAACGGAATGAGTTAAATAAGAAAAAAATTAATTTAATTTAATATATTAATGAATGCAATTAATTTAAAAAACAAATAAAGATCGATTAAATTAAATTCTTTAAAAAAAAAATAAACAAATAAATTAAATTAAATTCGATTACTTGAAAAAGGAATTTAAGAATAGTGCTAGAGGCAACCCCCCTATGTTTTTTTATTCTAAAAATACTTAAGCTTATTTTGAAAGTATAAAAAAAGCTAAATTAGTTGTTAGGACCTTAGTCCTCAACTCCAACCGTACTTGGTATGCCATTTTATATTTTTTTTGAAATTTCTGGAACATCAGTGACAAGGTTGAGCAAAAAAGGCTCTCTTAATGTCTAATGGAAGAATAAAAATTTAGAAGTTTGCAACAGGATTCTAAATCTTTATTAATTGAGAGATAATGTATTTTTTTTTTTTGATTATTTCTATTCAAATACATAAAAATATAATAAGAGAATAAATAATATTATCAAATACAATAAAAATTAAATTTTCTAATTTAACACAACTCTAATTGAGTCATTTAGTCCTCTCAATTTAGATAACTTTAGTCTTTTGTTAACACCTCATAAATGGATAGAGTTATCATAATTACCAGATGCTAATTTATTACTATTAGGCAAATAGCTAATAGATTTGACTCCATAGATATGACATTTACTATTGATTTATTATTATCCTGTCTTAATATTATATTAATAAAAAGCTGAATGTAATATCTTCATTATCAAATGTTACTATAATAGTATGAAGGGTCAGCAAAAACCTAAATTAGATGGATATAGTAATTATGCATATTTAATATGCTTCACTTATCTTAACATCCTATTAAAGCGTAAAGTTACCTTTACTATCAGATGCTAATATATTTTTTATTTTTTAATAAAAATTTA